GTGTACACTGTGTCAGATTGTGCCCTGTAGTATTTCTAAATCTAATGTTGAAGTTTTTTTAATTTATTTTTTCTTCCGAGGGTTTACTTGGGTTTCTTTTCTCCTCTATCCTTCTCTGATACTTCACCAGACTTCCTCATCCACTCATTTTTGATTGCTCAGAAAAGCCTGCATGTTCAGTATGGGTAACATCTGCATGTGTTCTCTCATGGCAGGTATCGTTGGGCTTTTATTCCAGAAGCATCAGATGATTCAGGCTTGGAAGTTCGAAGACAAGGAACACATCAGAGGGAATTCAAGCCCTATGTGGTGCGTCTGGCAAAGCTGCTGCGAAAAAAAGCAAAGGTATGTTGCTTTTTTCTTTTGCTTTTCACTGAAAGGTTTAATGTACAGTGACATACAGCAGTGTTTGGGTTTGAATATTTTAATTTTTTTAACACTGAAGAATGGAAAGGATTTTTTCTGATGTAGGAGATTCCAGCTGGAGGAATCTCAAGTCAACATCAGGCAGAAAACACATCTAACTATAGAAAACAAACAAAAAAAACAAGGCCTAAACCAAACAAAAAAGGCCCAAAATAAATCAGACCGCAGAAAAATTCATAACCTCCTATGGTCAAAATGATTATGATCACTGACTTTGGATTTCTAAATTAAAAGTATTATTTAAATAAAAAGTAAAATATGCTCCATTATCTGATATATTTTATCATAAAATCACTTTCAGATAGCCAGTCATATATGTAGATACTAGTCTGACTACCTAGTTTTTGAAGTAGAAAACCAGTTTTGTTAATAACAAAATCAAAAATTTAAAAAACTGTTGCATTCTTAACCGTGACAGAGCTCTAAGAGTGTTGAGACTGAGCAGAGCCTGGGACTGTGATGAACAGAAAATGGCAGAGATCAGGAGAAACAGTTCTGGGGAAATCTTTGCTGCACAGTTGTTAGAGGGGAACAGAATGAGGGTTGTCATTATGTTGGTGCATGGGATGTATTAAAACCCCAGTTTGTGGGGTTGGAGGCCTCATCTGGCCAAGCCCTGTCCCAGGGAGATCCCTTCTGCTGCCACAAAGTAAGAACTGTCAGATATTTGCTGCTCCTGCTGTGAGGAGAGCCCCCCTGGACAGGGAAATGTTGATCGATGAGCCAGGGAAGCAGGGAAGAAGTGCAAAGCTATATGTATGGCAGAAAATTTTGAAGTTTTATTCTCAGGTTTCTCTCTGTCAGGTCTGTAACAGTGGCAGCTTGCTGTAGTTACTGCATTTACAGTCTCTAATGTCTTCAGCGAGGAAAGGAACTGCTGCTGAGGTACAAGTGGCTCCATTAAATTTAGGGATAACTTAGTTGCAGGCAGATCTCAACTATTGAAGCAAGGCTCACAATTATGGGGGATAAAACTAGTGTCTGAAGCATACCTGCGTTTTGCATTTTATCATTTTTGAACCATGAAGATGAGACTCAATTTCTCTTCTTGAATGTATAAAGGAGTAATGAGTTTTAACTGCCTGCTCTTCAGGCACAGCCTCTAACCCTGGTGTTCAATGTAGTATCTGTTAGAAAGTTTTCACACTCCAAGTAATCTCTGTGCATGAACTTATTTATCATGTGTGATTCATAAATATACATGCTGCTGGTAAGTACTGTATGCTGAGATAGATGCCTTAAGTCAGGACTCCCACAGTATGCTTCAAGAATGCAGAAAACCTCTTGGAATTTCTGGAACCTCTTAGTCATGGCAGCAGTTGCACACTGAACCATAGGTAGGTGTATGATGATGAGATAAACACGAGATAATGAATATTGCCTTCAGGACATTTCCTCTTTATGCAGAGGAGAATACTATTACATATAGCTGTGGGATTTTCTTAGAAAATAACTACAAAAAATGGAGTGGATCCTTATTTTTCTTCAGGGCATTCTGACTCATGTTTAGATTAATGTAGTATGGTGTTGCTCAGGCTGTGTTATCTGAGGGAAACATGCTTAAAAACGTCTTTTGGCAGTGCTGGAAATAAACAGAGGCAAAACTGGCAGTGCTGGTTTTCTCTAGTAGTGTCTTGGCCATTCTAGCTTGAGTCTGCCATTTCTGGACCACAGACTTGTTGGGGTGGGTGATTTTTCTAGCTGATGCACAGCACCCAACCAAGCAACTACACGGCCTTCACGGCAGAGTATTCTTTTCATATATTAAATGCAGTCTGAAAGTTCTCCTCTTTCCTTCCACAGGACAAACAGGAGGACTTTAAGACGGTGGTTTTGGAGGGAATGGAGATGGCCAAGCATCAGGTGAGGGTGGCCTTTGATGCTTGAGTTGTGAAACAAGCTTGCCATAATAATACCATCACCTCAAGGCCCTGGGCACTGTTTAGCATTCAGTAAGAACTAAGAGAGATCAGATTTTTATAGAACAAAGCTGAGAGAATTTTGAGGTACAATAACCCTTATTTTTATAGATAACTTTAATTTTAAAAAATGAAAAGTTTATAAGTTACGTTTCCTGTACAAAATAGATTACAAAAAGCTGATGTTAGTTCTAAGAAGAATTATGATTGCAAATCATTATACAATTAAATTGTAAAATAATTTTTGTCAAACTGCATGTGTGAAACACACAATCCCTCGTTGGTCTCCATCAAATTAACTGTCATTTTAAGCATCTGTGGAATTAGTGGTGTTTGCTTAGCCAATACTGCCATGAGGAAATGGCTTGGACAGGTTGTATTTCATTGCTCAGAGTTGGAATTTGCATATGCACCCCATTTGGTTGGCTGCTGTGTGACACTGACACTTGCTGTGTGCTGGGGGCACATCCTGTCACCATGGGCAATGCTAAGCATTGTACAGAAACAGTATGGAAGAAACTTCTCTGTGAATACAATGATACGTTTTTTAAGGAGAAACTCTAAAAATTAATAGCTTTATTTAGAAAAGGAGGCATCAACAACTCTTTGTGTTGGAAATTTAGTCTTCCCTTTGCTGTGGTTTGGTGTGAGCCTTTCATTTCAGAAGACTTGTAAAGCTCAAATAGTGGTCTCCTGTGGCAGGGAGCCAAGCCACCAGATACATTCATACAGAATTTAAATCTAATTGGGGTTTGCAAAATGGATGCCCTGTAGGCTTCTCAATTGCAGGACAGTTGCTTCATTTAAAGGGCAAAACTTAGATTTTTTTCAAGACATGATACTTAAACAAATACATTTGCTCAAAGGCTGTGCAATCAGTGATCCTTACCTTATGTTCTGCTCCCACTGCTGTCCTTTCCCCTTCATTCTTCTTTCATTACCAAGTGGACCCCCTGCCTCAGCCACAGGTGCTACCAGGGCAGTGGGACGGGGGTAGATCCACAGGTGGCTCTTCTTGGTGATGCCTTTTGTGCTTCTTCTCTCCTTCCTTGCAAAATAAAGTCCAGTACTGCTGGAATTCTACTTCATGATAGAAGCTCTCTGTACTGCTTTGTCAGTAACAGTACAAATAAGGTGTTTCTAGTGGTGATAGTACCTTAGTGTCTAGATTTGAGTATGGTTTTTGACTCAGAGATAAAGGAAATGGGGAAGAGCTGTATAACAACCTGGATACTGGAGCTCAGGTACTTCAGTATGCAGATATTTAAGGCAGCCCTAGCCAGGGCTACAGCAGTGTGCTGCTGCTGGTGGGCATCTGGTGTGTGACTGCTGCCTTCGCTTGTGGGGTTCCTGAAATTCTTTCCTTTGACATTCCCCCCATGTAATAGAAGTAACATAAAAACTGAGTTCTTCTGAGAATACACAATGAGTAACTGAGCCATTTTCCTTTGAGAAGAACTTAACTATTTCTCAGAATGTCCATGTGCGTTATTTGTGGTACTAAAAATAGCACTGCTTTTTGCCCTTCCCAAAAACTCTGAACTCAAGCTACAAAGTGAAAATGCTCTGTATCTATTGTAACCTCCTCTGGGGTTTATAATCACTGATGACAGTATCAGCTGGGGAAGTGTGTGTCACCAGAAAGGAGCCTGCTTTGGAAAGCAGCTGAAGCAGCTCACCCCTTCCAGCTGTCACCAGTTTGGGTCATTTGTGTTGCCCACAGGATGCTGCCTGGGAGCAGCTCCACAGGGCTGCATGGTGGGGGCTGCCTTGCTTTGGGACAGCCCTAGGCTGAGGTGTTGGACTCAAATGCCCAGTGTGACTCTTCCATTAGCATCAGCTGACTGCCGCCTCTACGCTCTCAGTCAACTGCCTCTGCAGGGCATGTTGAGGGGGAACAGAGGATCTGCTTTGGAAGCTCCACTTCAGCATTGGTGTGTTTTGTGGAACTTTGGAAAAATGTTTTTGGACTTTGGAAAAGTACAGTATTATACATTAGTCTTTTGTTTTCATCTGTGCTTTTCCTGTTTTGTCCTGTCTTATTTCCCATGTCTCTGTATTTGCAGAAAAACCCAGAGGAGGATGGCTCAGGGAAAACACTAAACTGGGAACCAGGTCACTTGCTTTTAACCATCTACACTGTTCGCAGCATTGAGCAGCTCTTGCCTTTCTTCAATGTACTCAGCCAAGTTTTTAACAGCAAAGTCACAAGCAGATGTGTTGGACACTCAGGGAGCCCAGTTCTTTACCCCAACTGTTTTCCAAGTAAGGACATAAAAATGGAGAACCTCAAGACCTTCTCCAGCAAAGCAAGACAGAAGATAGAAGAAATGGTTGAGAAGGATTTTCTGGAAGGCGTCATAAAATCATGAACCACAGTGGTACTACTCAGCCTATATGTATTGTAACTATCTAAATGAAATACTGTATCTTTCCCAGTTGTATAGTATTCTTTTCTTATTTTATATGTAATGAAATACTTACTGTTGTATTTAAGTTAAATATTTGTAAATAAGAGAAGTTCTGGATGTGGCCTGAATCAAGTTTAAATATTGGTAGCTCATATTGATTATGGTGCCTACTATTTACAGTAAATGTTCTGTTGTCTTGAGTTCTGTCTTTAAAAAAAAATGAAAAAAAAATACAAGGTGCACATTTTTTTCAATTTGTTTCCAGTTTATTTTTGTCTCTTTTTTTTAAAGATCTATTGGAACTTGTGCTTTTTTAATAACCTGTAAAATGCTATTATGGCAGGAGTTAATACAGGATTACAATGAACTGTTTGTCAGAGGTAGACACCCTGAACCAAAGTATGCCAAGGAGGATACTGGTGTGTTTAAAACATTGCATCCTGTTGGCCCAGCCTCTTCATGGTGCTGGGAAGCAATTAAGGCCACAGAAGACAAACTTGTCTCTGTCCCTTCCCTCTCAAGTGTGATTATAAATACTATTACTGCAAATCACTTTCTAAATCATGTCATAAAATGAAGATAATATTGCAATAATAGATTATTATTTGCAAATATTCTTTTTCATTATATTGTTTTCCCCTCAAAATGAGGTGAACTGAATCTGAAGACAAGTTACAGCCTCTGTCTTACACTGTTTGCCCAGAGACGATTGGGCTACTGGGGATAAGGTGGGGATGATGATCCTGCAGCAGCTGCTGTGAGCACAGTCACAGCAGAGCTTCAGTCTTGCAGCCATGGCCAGTGCTCTGAGGGTGTGGGTTTGGATTTCAGGCACAATGTGACAATGAGCTAAGCTAGGGCAGGGAGGGGCAGAATTCCTTCTGCACATGACCGTGGCTATACAAGAAGTTAGACAAACGGGGAGGGGAACATTCAACAGCAAGAGTATCTCATTAAGAGGTAAGTTGCTAAAGGAGGTTAAGAATAAGCAGAGTGATATTCCACTCAGTTCTGATCAATCCTTGCTACTCCCAGGAAGGGTTGGCTTTGTGCCCAGCAGAACATGATAAAAAAAGTGATATTAAAAGAGAAGGGGAACTATGTGCTTTAACTGCCATTCATTATATAGGCTGTGGTGGTGCTCCTTTTCCACCAGCAAGGTGGAAAACAGCCAGGCTCACTTCATGGGCGAGTGCATCTGCATTCTCCTGTGGAATGTTGGAAAAGTTAGTTATGCTGCTGCCAGCATGAGAAGAATAGAGCAAATACATGATATTAAGGCAAGCATTTTCCTGGGAATGGTGTATTCCCTATATTGCTCCACCAGCCATTGCCATCATACTGGCAGTGAGAAGCAGGTAGGAGCATGGGAAGTGGGGAGAGCAAGACCACTGCTTTTGCTATCACCCTGAAGTTCAGATCTGGACTAACTTAACAGCAGCCAGAGTTTTTTTTCCTGCTTTGCCTCTTATGAAATTGTGTTGTTAAGGACTGCTTTGGTAACTTTCTTCTTAACCCTGAGCTCTCAGAAAGCTGGTTGTCTTTTCAAACTCATCTGGTGTTAAATCTGCCTTTATAAACATTTATATTTTCATTTTGAAAATAAACATTGAGAACATTAACATTACTTTTCTAAATAAAAGAAAATCCAAAGTGACTTTTTGTGATCAGAGTGTTTTTTCCAAATTTAGCATTTGTTAAGCATGATTAAATGGCAAGTATGGAAGCAGACTTCCTTCATCACCCCTTGCTAGGTAGAAGATTGTCTAAGGTGAACAAGCCCACTCATAAATGAGTCAAGCTCTGACCTGTGTGTCTGCTTCAGCATAGATTCTGACGACGTCCTCTGTTCCTGATGGACGGACAAAGGCCCGGGACAGTTTGTACTTCTTTACAAGGGCATCAATTTTCTCCTGCAGGCCCGGGGGCGTCAGTGCTCGCCTTTCTGCATCTGTTGTGTCAATAACGCGCCTGTCTGCGACCTGCAGCATCAGAAATGGGGTAAGGCAGAAATTCAGGGTTGGCTATGTTGTGCTGCTTGGAGAGGAGCTCCGTTTGGGAGCTAATCAAGGGCTACTCAAACACTTGGGGTCTCCAGGATCCCTGCAGCATCTATTAACCAAATCTTGAGAGGCGTCAGCTGCTCAGTTTAAAAAAAGGGTCAGTTCTGAACATGCCATCCTGGTCAGCTTGAAGTGAAGCTACAGCTTCTCTTTTTCTCAGAAACTTAAATTGTTTCCTCCAGTTCAAATAGAGCCCAGAGCTTCATTACTGTGTCTAACAGAATGCTGCCACATGGCACCTTCTGCTCAAGCTCTTTGTCTGAATGTTGGAAAGGATACAGAAGCAAGAGCTTGAACATTCAAGTTATACAAAGTGGCACAACAAGAAAATTCCAGCTGTCCAGCAGGCAGAGGCCTTAGAAAAAACAAGATTTTTCTAATTTGAAAGTTGGAATTTGTTCTTAAGTTAAAATTTGAAGAGTTTTGGTCTGGTTTTTCCTTTTAATATAGTTGGCTATTATTTCATTTTTTTTAAAGTCATATTTCTATTTTAGTCAAAGTTAAATTCTCCCAAGAATTTCCCCAGAAGTTTTTGGCCTGTTTTTTCCCTAGCTTCTTTGGCCTATTTCTGCCCTTTCATGGTCTGTTTCAGCTTTAAAATAAAGCTTATCAAAATGTGTGCAGGCAAAAGATGCTGTGAGCAGGCTCCCAGAGGCTGCTGTGGCCTGAGCCAGCATGGCTGGACTCACCTGGACCTTGAGCAGCCGATTGGGAAGGTCGGCATAGAGGGCATCCCACTGCTGCACAGTCAGACCCTTCAGAGCCAGGATCGCTTCAATAACCAGCATGTCCGAGACAGCATCGCCAACAGTCTGCCAACAGGGAGGGGAAAACACTGCAGCAGTGAAGACAGGCAGGCAGGACTTCACCAGGAAACTTCCAGCAATCCCCAGCAGCAGCCTGACAGGAGCTCACAAACAGGCTAACCCTGCCAGCACCGTGGTTCAGTACTCTTAGTTTTTACCTGATTAATCAGGTCAATCGTGTTTTCAAGCATCTTTGCTGCTTCTCTTTTTCCATTATCTTTCTCCTCTTTTACCAGCTGTCGTATTTTAGTTTCAGCAGCTTTACTAAACAGTACCTAGAAGAAAAAGGTAAGAGGTTGTCAAGATGAAACTAGGATATATGCAGTAGTGAGGACAAAGCTTTTACCATCTAAGCCCAAATAGCTATCATTAATGATTGTTACCATGAATTCCCACTCCCCCATGAAGCACAGAGGAGCTGGTGGCAATGCTATGATAAAGAAGGTGCGAACAAATTTATTTTCAAACAAGGAGAAAAAAAAATGGTTATAAAACTAAGCAGAGAGTGAAAAGACCTCCTTTTCCAGGTGATTTAAATAAAATTTTGGACATAGTGGCTGATCATATGGATTACCTGCTCATACTTACTGTGCCATGTCCATTTGCCTCAAAATAAACACCCACATCAAATTCCTGGGCCTTGTGGTGCAAGTGTTTCACTCCTGTTTTGACACAGTGCACAGGTACCTGCAGCCCAAGGGTGTGCAGAGAATGACAACAAGGTTACAGACTCTCCTCAGCAGGCTGGAATGAGCACCAGCCTGGAAGGACTGTTCCAAACTAACCCACGTTTCATGGCCACTGAGGCCCCAGAGCTAAAATGCTCCAATATTTCTGCAGGCCCAATTTAAAAAGATTTCATTTATTCCTGTGTAAATAAAGGCTAATTAAAGAAATAAACTCCAAACTAGAAAGAATCAAATTTAGTTTATAGCTTCAGGGAACACACTAGATTCACATACCAACAGAAAGAATACTTTCAATTCCTGAACATTTAGCTTGCTGCAGAAAATCAGTGTCAAACTATCAAGGAGGCTTTACTGACTCACTTGGTTGTAAAGCTATAAAGTCCTCAGTTTGTTTAAGTACCAAGTGATTTCATTAAACATTTTTTAAATTAATAAAAGCTGACTAGAACTTTTTAAGCTCTGCTCTCTTGCATCTCCTTTGCCCCCAAGAAGTTAGTCACTACTGTAATTTTTTTTGTTTGTTTTAATTTTCCTAGCAATCATATTACAGTAGCATTTATGTTTAAAATAAAAAAAAAATGTAAACTAGCTAGAAAAAACATGGAGAATACCTTCAACGTTTCCTGGAGGTAGCGTGTCGAATTTCCATTGGCATATGCTGTTTGTACCACTGCCATCTTGAAGTCCTGTTTCACCTGAGCAAACCAATAAGCCAAGTTTTACTGTCCAATAGGCACACAGCCAAACAAAATGGATAAATGGAAAGATAATCAGAACTTTTAAATGTACAGTTAAAACTCCTGGATACTAGAGGGAGGCACCAGCTCACTGAGAACTTCTGTATGCTTAAAAAACATGAATTCTATTCAAGTATTTGTACATCCCATATTAATTTTTCTTGGGTCTAGCTGAAGCAGCTCTTCAAGCTTAGACTTTCTAAACCCCTTTTTTGCCACAGCAGTGATGTACAGGTCCGATCTCTTTTTAAAACTGGTTCACTTTAGGTAGATGTAGAGAGACCACATACCAAGCAACACAGCTTCCTTAGACTATTTTATACTTAAAAAATTAGAATGCCAGCATCCATTTCACACGTTAGAGTTACCTTGGCAAGAAGTTCTTTTAAGAAGATACTAATTAAAGTTGCTATTTTATCGCCATCGATCAGGTGAAAATGGCCAGCTGTGTCCTTATAATAATAAACAATTCTATCCGCATCACCATCAAATGAGCAGCATCTCTCATTGGGCTTCATGTCCAGCCCTAGTGCACAGAGTTACAAATGCAAGTTAAAGACAGGAAAAGAATCAAAACCAGGTAATTTATTTCAGTGAGTGATGAAGAAAACACATTTTCTTTTCAGAGCACATGTCTGCAGACAAATGACTTGGGCGCAGTTGAAGCCAGGACCCAGGCAGGAGGCACAAGCATTCATCCCCAGCAGGCCCTGCCACAGTGCTGCTCCCAGCACTGCATTTCTCCAGTACACAGCCAACGTGGGAAGGGGAAGCAACACTATATCTTGGTGTTCAGATTTGGCCAGCAGCTGCAGTGGGAATGCAGCTGTCCAATGGAGAAATCAGTTTAGCCTCAAATAATCTCATATCCAAACCAGCCTGCTCTCCCAGTTCAGGGATTTTCTTTTATACAATTCTCAGGAAATTGACTGAAATAGTTTCTTCACTGGTGAGGTCAGTGAGTCAGCCTGCTGGCACCGAGCTGTTAATTAACCCAGCCCTTCTGCAAGAACCCGGAAAACTGTTTCTTCATAATACAAAGGGGAGTAAAATAAATAATACTAAACCAGTCCTGACTGATCTTTGGACTCTGCCAGCTTAATATTCAGAGGAGACTGTCAAACATATTTCAGCCAGTCAGAGAGATGCTGTGCTCCTCCACGCAGTTCAGATTAACACAAAGATGTGCCAAACTTGGCCATTCCCTTTTTCCATTGCACAAGGAGAACCATTCATGCAGTCACTTAGTAAGAAACAGGGAGCTCCACTTACCCAAGGATGTGGACCCTTGCCAGACCCTGCAGAGGAGGTAAAGCAACATAAAATTACTAACTTCTTACCTCCAGGTGGTTTCTGGTGAACTTTCACAAAATCTGCACCACATAAGTGATTGAGTTTCTCCTTGGTTCCATCATTATATATGTGAATTAGCACCTCTTGTGGAAAGTAGGGCTTCATTTCTGATAGTTTCAGGGCTCCTATTCCATTGGCACAGTCAATCTTCAGGTGCCTCTGATACTCTCCAGAGCAGTGAGACTTAGTGCAAGGGAAGAAGGGGCAAAGTGAGCTGTTACCCTAGAGAAACCATACCTAGAGCATGCTGAACTAGAAACTTCAGGCCCAAACAGGCTAACAAACAGATGAGATTAATTTTGTACATTTGCATGCAGAAGACAATACCTACTATTCACCTGTTTTATCAGTTCCATAAAAGATTTGGACAGTTTTTCATAATAACCTTCCAATGTTGCTTTCCCATACTGCCCTTGGGTGTTTTGACAGCAGACCATATAGTGGAGCTGTGGTGTTGTCACCAGACCATAATCTGGTGTGAAATAAAAGGAACAATATTCAGAATAGAATTGTAAATTAATTGTTGCTTAAAAGTTTTACAGTAAACAGACAAATGCAGGAAACACCTATGGAATTTATCAAGTTGTCTTATGAAAACATAACCCTCCCCTGCCCTGCCTTGCATTAAAGCCATACAACCACCCTGAAATAAAACTATTAAAAGCAAAGATGGAAATGTGTCTGAGTTGTTGCCTTAGGGCTGCATGAAGGAGTCACATTTACATAAAAATACTTGAAATGAGATTATAATTGCAAAGTGTAACCTACCATGGTACTGACCACCTAGAACCTGGATACCATCTATAACTGACTGGGACAGCTTCTCGCTGCTTGGCCTGGAAAACAACAAGTATATCTGATAACCCTGGCAAAGGCATTTATCTATGGACTTGGGAAGGAAGCACATGTGGAAGACTCTACAGGCTTCCTGCCACAACATTTAGACTTACTGTGAAGAAATCCAAACCTTTTTCTGTTGTAGGCAATTCCCAATAAAGTCTGAAAGCCAACACCCCCAGGGACTGCAAACACATGTAAAGTGCTGGACACAGGTGGACAACACACAGTACCCACACAATTCCCCTGAAGACAGCACCAGTACCTCCATAAGAGCAGGATATATCTACAGCCTTCTGTCATTACCTGGTGTCTCTGCCAATAAAAACTGAGGCATCTTTGTGCAGGTTCACTGCTGCTTTTTGGCAGATCTCAGTTATCACCTTCTGTAATTCTTGCTCCTCTGCATTTGCTAGTTGTGTGGCATACTCTTCCCAGGAAGGGTGCAGCATTTCTCCAAGAGGATCAACCAGCTTTACACCATTGTCTTCCTTAGCAAAAAAAAATGAAAGAACAAAAAATAGTAAGTCTAAAAGTGGGGAACTAATCAAACCTCTTTGAAGACAGACAACACATGGTTCAGTAACATTGCTTCTTTAAAAGTGCAGAACTTCTGGGACGCAATAGCTTAGCTGTTTATTTAAACCACCACAAGCCTCTAAAGAAGCACTATAACAAGCATATTGAGAAGCCAACTCTTTCTCCCTTATAATTTTGGTATGAAATTCATTCGACATTAAAATTACATAAGAGGAGATTCTAATACCCTTCAGTGGTCTACAGCAGCAAAAGCCTAAATGCCTGATTTGTAGTTGCTGCATTTTCATGTTTATTTTTAAAACTTACAGCTTTTACTCAAAGGTTCTTCTCTTCTCAAGGCTACTCCTAGCTTCCCAACATTAGAAAGTTACATTGCAACATGAAATGTTTCTGTTACACCATTTCCACATGAGAAAAGATCCCACTTCTGTGTACAGGGGAAAAATAACTTCAGATAGACCAGAGATCGTATTTACAGGGAGCAGGCTGAATGCTTTAAGCAGGTTCAAATGTCTTCAGGATCTGGTCTCTCACTGCTGTGATGAGCTTTGATTCCAACAAACTGATCACATCTTTCCACCCTTCTACCGAAACACTTCACATCATTGCACCGAACCGGTCGCATGTTTAAGGAGAGGTCAGTCCTTACTTCGGGGTTGTGAGACGCTGTAACCATGATGCCAATGGTCGCTGTCACGGCTTTGGACCTGAGCCCTGCCAGGAGGCCCATGCGGAACACGACGTGATCCAGCTGCTCGGCCTTGCTGCGGAACCCAGCGGTGCCATACTGCAGGGTCAGCCCGGCGGGCTTGGGGTGCAGGGCCGAGTACTTCCTAAGGGCTTCAAAATCCATCCCTAGGGAAGGAAGCAACACAGATGGGAGTGAGAGGAGACGAGTCGCAGTGACCAGTTTCACGTTCCGGAGGCTGCGTGCCCTGAAGCGCTGCCATCAATCCCCTGGCGGGACCAGCACCAGGAAAGGAGTCTCTACACTCCCTGGAGAGCACCGGATAAACAGCGTGATCAGATATAAGCAGATCACGCAGGGACGAGGCGAGGAGAGCCAGGATTCCCGGTCGGCTGGATCCAGGGATCCGAACAAGTTCCCGTGGAGCTTCCCGTTTCTCACCGTGACATCAGGCGCCCAGAGCGCTCGGCCGCGGCTCCACACACGGATTTCCGAGCCCAAAACCAGCGTGTCCTCCTCCCCAGGCGCCTGCGGGGGAGCCTCCAGCGGTGTTCCCGGGCTGTTGCCCCCGGCGGCGGCTCCGTGCGCAGCGGCACCCGGACACCAGGCCGGGCGGGCGGGGCAGCCGGACACGCGCCCCCTGCGCGGCTGCTTCCCTCGGGACCCCCGGCGATGCCGCGTGGACGGCCCGGCTGGAACGGGACGGGATAAGTGGGATGGGATGGGGTAAGTGGGATGGGGTAAGTGGGATGGGATGGGATGGGCGGGGCGCGATCCCGCCGGAGCCGCCGCCGCGCGCCCCGCACGGAGCCGGCGCGGCCCCGCCCACTCACGGCAGGACCGACCAATGGCTGGTGGGTGGGCGGGGCCGCGCCCGCCGCGTGGCACTCGGGCCACGCCCCCTCCCGGAGCGCGGCCGCGCAGGCGCCGCCCCGCCCGCCCTGGAGCGGCCCCTGGGACGGCCGGGCCGGGCCGGGCCAGCCTCGCACAGCTTCACTGACAGCTCCGGTCACAAAGCTGCCCCTCAACGCGCTGCTTTTGGCTGGGGAGGCGTTAAGTTTCAAATTTCTTCACAGCGGCTGGTACGGGGCTGTGTTTTGGATTTGTGCTGAGCACAGTGGTGATGATGTGGAGATGTTTTTGTTATTGCTGAGTGGGGCTTACACAGAGCCAAGGCCTTTTCTGATTTCTGCGCTGCCAGGCTGGGGAGGGCCCTGTGGGAGCTTGGGAGGAGACACAGCCCGGACAGGTGACCCCAAGTGACCAAAGGGACATTCCAGACCATGGAACATCATGCTCGGTATAGAAGGCAGGGGAAGAAGGAGGAAGGGGAGGACGTTTGCAGTGATGGTGTTTGTCTTCCCAAATCACTGCTGGGTGTGATGGAGCCCTGCTCTCCTGGGGATGGCTGAACACCCGCCTGCCCATGGGAAGCAGTGAATTAATTTCTTTCTTTGCTGGTGTGCATGGCTTCTGCTTTCCCTATGGAACTGTCTTTACTTCAGCCCGTGTATCTTCTGCCTTTTACCCCTGCGATTCTCCCGATCCTTCGGGTGGGGAGGCGGCTGCGTGGGCTTGGCTGCCGGCTGGGGCTGGACCACGACACCCGACCAACACCGGGTGTATCTGCTGATAAATAACATAAATAATAACATAAACAATGCATCTCTGCCCGCGCACATTCCCGCAGGACTCCATGCCCTGCTCTTCCCCGTGCCTGAGCCGGTGCGGGCTGTGAGGGCCGGGCTGCTGAAGCCGTGTCCAGCCGTGTTTAACCAGTTCTGCCCTTAAAGAACCGCGGCGCTTCCCTGGGAGGCTGAGCCTCACCGTGTGCTAAACCGCGGGGTTTGACTCCAGTCCTCTCCTTCCAGGCGGGCGTGCAGGGCAGTGCAATGGCTGTCACGGTTAAAGAATGCCTGGAGCTCCAGCTGCTGGAAGTGGAAATGCTCCTTTCGATGTTTCCCAAAAGCGGAGAATTCAGTCTGGATGCGGATGCCGTGCCCAGCATCCAGCGCTACCTGAAGAATGCTGACGGAGCCCTGCCCCCGCAGCTGGAATATCGAATCGCTGTCGATGTAGGGGAGGCGAAGGTGAGAGCAGCCAAGGATACTTGTTCATGGGTGATGTTGTCTTTACTCCTTCTGCACACACTTGAAAAGGCTGCCCGGAAAAAAAAAGGGTAAAAAAGCCACCACATTTTTGTTTGCTCTTTGAAAAGTCAAGAGTAACAGAAAATCTCAGCTGCTGCTAACATCTGTGTTAGAAATATCATAATTAAAAAATGAAATAGCCCCAATGGCAGAATGCAATTACAAGGAGTCACAAGAACACAAAACCAAAACCAGCCTATGAGCAGAGAAACCAATCTCTCAGTAGTTAGAACAGTTTAACTGATTGAAGAAAGGGACTGAACTAAATGATGTAAATACTTGCAGAGAGAACACAGGTCTGAGTGCATACTAATGCAGTGACTGAGAACAGACAAATTCAGCCTAAAAGCCATTTTTCATGGAACAAAGGTAATCAAACATTAGAACATTACCCATGAGATGGCCTCATGAGGTTTTTTTCAAACTTTAGTTATAAGCTTAGTTGTCTTTCTAAAATGTATCTTTTCACCAACCTACAGAGAGAAGTTTTGTGAGCCACTTAGGGAGGGCTTCTGTAGGAGTAGTGGGGTTTTTTTTGTATCAGATCGTCAAGGAACTTGGAAAGATAATTAGTCATTTCATGATTCACTTCTCTCTACAGGACTATCATATGATTGTACACTGTAGTGAGTATCCCCTAATAGTCTACAGGAGCTTGAAGCACTGAGGGCACACAAATCCTTTCCTGCTCTTGGACAAGAGGCAGGGTTCAGCTGCCAAAGAACTGTGGTGGTCCATTTGAAGGCACTGTAGGAATAATCAAGGGAGATGCAACAGCCCAATATTCATAAGAGATCAAATAAGATAATCTTGTGGTCTCCCTGACCTGAAATGTACATAAATATTTTCATCCCTTATACTCCTGATTCCTTTTTACGGTGAATACTTGCTTAAAATAAAGGTAACACACAGAATCATAGAATGGTTTGGGTTGGGAGCAACCTTCAAGATCACGTATCTCCAGCACTCCTGCCAGTGTCTCTATATACAGTAGGTACAATCACAAATGCCATTCCATGTAACTCCTGCCTTTTTTCCAGCAGCTGGGCTGAGTTCATTACTCATGTGCATTTGGTAAGGGATGAGATTCTCAAAAGCCCTTGACTCCAACAGTTCACTGCTGTAGCAACACTGAGCTAGAAGTATCCCTCCAGGGTAACTGAGTACCTCCTCCCAGGCCATAGCATTAGTTCTGTGAACAGCACACAAGCTGCCTGGATAACATGGGAAGCATTGTAAAAGTGACAGCATGACGCAACACAAGAAAAGGAACAGACAAAATAACAGGTTATTGGGGCAAAAGGGAAGTGGAAATAGTTCCAGTTAGTAGGATTCTGCAATCTTGATTACATCTCCTCATAATCTGCCTCTGTCAGGGAAGAAGAATCTAGCATGTCTTCAGTAGCTGCAGGATTAATTTTCTGTGTGTGTCTTCTGTTTTTAAGGTAAAGGTGGAATTGCAGGTTCTCCTTCCTCATATGTACCCGCAGGTGGCTCCTCAGCTTTTTGCCAGATCAGATGCTCTGCACAGACAGCAGCAGTTGCAGCTTAATACTCGTCTGGCATCTCACATCAGCTCTCTGGAGACAGGAGATCTGTGTGTATGTGAGGCTGTGCAGTGGGTGAAGGACAGCACCCTGCCTTTCTTGGAAAACTGTAAGGCCTCCTCCGAGTGTGCTCCTAAAGAAGTCAGGGTTAAGAAAATGCTGCATCGCATGTGGATCTACAGCCATCACATATACAGGCAGGAACTGAGGAAAAAGATTTTTGACTGTGCAAAGAAGTTAAATCTGACTGGCTTCTGCCTAACTGGGAAACCTGGTATCATCTGTGTGGAGGGACTCCAAGAAAACTGTGAAGAGTTCTGGCATATTATTAGATATCCCAACTGGAAGCATATTTCATGCAAGCATGTGGAGAATATAGAAACGGAGGGAAGCATTGATAATCTTCGTCTCTTTCACAGTTTTGAAGACCTGCAGTTTCAGGCACATGGTGATTATGGCCTGAGGAATGACTATCACATGGATCTTGGTCAGTTTCTAGAATTCCTGAAACAGCATCAAAGTGGACACATTTTTCAGATTTTATTTGGTGTTGAAGGCAAACTTTCAGACAATTGAGAGAAACTGTTTATGAAGAAAACTAATTCTGGAGAGCAAGAGGTGACATTGAAATACTTTGTCTTACAGCTACTGTGAAAAGGGAAACTTTAACATCTGAGATGAATGGTTCAAGTAGTTAATCTCAGCTTTTGTGCTGAACTGCCATGTATTTTTGAGACGTCTTCACTGATTTTCTAAGTATCTAAAACTGGCATTTGTCTCTGTGAGCCATGCCTCAAAGCACTTGCAAGGTGATAAACATTCCAGAGTGTGTTAGGAATTATTCACTTCTGTCTGTTCATCTGTACTGTGCTGTGTGAATTTCTTCCCATCTCATCTAAGCCTACTCTCTTGCAGTTTAAAACATCCCCCTCTTGTGCTGTCACTACATGCACTTATAAAAAAGTCTCTTTCCAGCCTCGTAGGCTCCTTTTAGGTACTGGAAAGTACTATAAGGTCTTGCTAAAGCCTTCTCTTCTCCAGGCTGAAAAATTCCAATTCTCTCAGCTAGCTGTCATAGGAGAGATGCTCCAGCCCTCTTACCATTTTTTGTGGCCCTCCTCTGGACTTGCTCCAGCAGGTCCATGTTCCCTTCATGTTTGTGTCTGAGAGCTCGATGTAGTGGTTCGTTGGGGGTCTCACAAAGGTGGAGTAGAGGGTGAGACTCACCTCCCTCAGCCTGCTGGTCATGCTGCTTTTGATGCAGCCTAGGATACACTTGGCTTTCTTGGCTTCAAGTGCACATCACTGGCTCACGTTGAGCTTTGTGTCTACCAGTACCAAATCCCTCTCCTCAGGGTAGCTCTCAATCCATTCTCCACCCAGTCTGTGTTTGTGCTTCGGATCGCCCCGACCCAGGGGCAGGACCTTGCACTCGGCCTTAAACACCATGAGGCCTGCACAGACCCACCTCTCCAGGTCCCTCTGAATAACATCCCTTCCCTCCAGTGCGCTGACTGCTCCACGCAGCTTGGTGCCATCAGCAAACCTGCTAGGGGTGAGCTGGTCCCACTGCCTGTGTCACCCACAGCAATGTGAATTCCAGCCCCCGAGGAATGTCACTCGCTTGGACATCAAGCCAGTGACTGCAACTCTTTGCGGCCAACCATCCTTACCCAGTGAGTGGTTCATCCATCAAATCCATGTCTCTTCAATTAAGGATGTCATGAGGCAAAGTGTCTCTGGTTATGTTAGTAACAATTTTTCATCTGTTCAATTCATGGCATTTTATGTTTCATTGTTAGGCCAAACACCTTGGAAATGAAAATGGGTCAGATGAGACAAAGTTTCATTTTCCCCCCTACATTACATAAGGAAATACATGTAAAATATAGAAAATAGGAAAAAGCCCTATATATATATTTAATATTACATAAAAATACAAATAATTTGAAGAATCCTTTCTATGTCAAATTAGTGTGGAGAGAATTTTCCAGAAGCTTGTAAGAGGCAATGCTGCTAATGGTTCATTAGGCAGCATTTTCCTGCAGGGAAGTGTGCTGAGTGTGGATGTGGATGGTGAGTGTTCCAGTTTGTAATGCATGATCATATTT